CTGGATGCAGCCACTATTCTCTTTCGAGAGCTTCAGTAGTGATGGGGCTTAACAGCTGGATGAAGATCAAATGAATGCAACAGAAAACACAGAAAATCCACACACACAGATAGATATCTACATAAAAATTCCAACCATCACCCAAGTCAAAAAAGAAGCACCATTAAAGCCTTGGCAGACCGTGCAAAAAGAATCTGCGAACCCCACCTCCTCCAAGATGAACTTAACCACCTCAACTGGGCTCTCCAGGCCAATGGATACTCCACCTCAGACATCAGAAGAGCTGCAAGACCAAGAACAAGCCACGAGAGTAAAGATGAAGATCCACCCAGAGGAAAGTGTTCCTGCCATACATCAAGGGAACCACTGACCGCATAGGGAAGCTGATGAGGAAACACAACATACAAACTATCTACAGACCCACTAAGAAAATCCAACAAATGCTACATTCAGCAAAGGACAAGAGGGACCCTCTCACCTCTGCAGGGTCTACCCTATACCATGTAGCTGTGGACAAGTCTACATAGGGACCACCAAACACAGCATTGCCCAAACAAGGAACATGAAAGGCACTGCAGACTAATTCAACCCGAGAAGTCAGCCATAGCAGAGCACCTGTTGAACCAACCTGGACACAGCATATTATTTGAGAACACAAATGCTGGACCAGTCTAACAACCGCAATGTCAGACTACACAGAGAAGCTATTGAAATCCATAAGCATGTGGACAATTTCAACAGAAAGGAGAACCATGAAAATGAACAAAATCTGGCTACCAGTATTAAAAACTCTAAAATTACAACAGCAAAAAAACAGAGAGGAAACAACCAGGCACAGATTAACACCTCCCAGCAAGAGATTTTCCCAGGCTCAGCCAGGCCATCAAATGCTAATCAAGGTGGTCAGTTGAAACATTCACACCTAGCTCCAACAGACAAGAGTTCTTTGCCCCACCCTGGTCATTCCACAGATATATAAACCCACTTTCCTAGTTCCAATAGACCTCACTATCTCTGAGGATGCGTGCCATAGATGCAAGTGAAATGTCAGGAGAAAATGCCTCTAGATCTTGGCCATATAGTTCGAAAAAACCGACAACAACCCAATGTCATAAATGTTCATGTTTTGGGATTTCATCTGTAAGTGGAAAGGGATACTAAAAGAATTTTAAATGGATTTTCTAGGCTTTGAGAAACCTTATGGAGCCCCCGGTGGCGCAGTGGGTTAAAGTGCTGAGCTGCTGAGCTTGTTGACCGAAAGGTCGCAGGTTCGAATCTGGGGAGCAGTGTGAGCTCCTGCTGTTAGCCCCAGCTTCTGCCAACCTAGCATTTTGAAAATATGCAAATGTGAGTAGATCAATAGGTACCACTCTGGCAGGAAGGTAACGGCTCCATGCAGTCATGCTGGCCATATGACCTTGGAGGTGTCTACGGACAACGCCAGCTCTTCGGCTTAGAAATGGAGATGAGCACCACACCCCAGAGTTGGACATGACTGGACTTAATGTCAGTGGAAAACCTTTATCTTTTACGTTACTAATTGCTCAGTAAATAATTAAAATATTTTACCTGAATGATTGTGGAATTGGAAGAGACCACAAGAACAATCCAGTCCAAGACCTGCCATGCAGGAACACACAAGCCAAGCAGGACAGTGCATGCAATTCATGGTGTCATCATTTGTACCTAGATGAACTAAGAAACGTTCTGTGTCCAGAGCTATGCCACCAGATGATCTCATATACATTTGCATACAAGTTCATCATTTGTTCTTGCATCAAAGACAGGGAAGCATTGGAAGAAACAGTGCCACAGGAGAAGCATTAGCCATTTGGGTGGATCAATTTTGAATCGGTCCAGGGCTATAGCCAAGGGCGTGGGGGGGGGGGGGGGGGAGAGTTTAAAAAAACCCAGTTTTCTCATGAATTTTAACTGGTTAACCAAATCTGCCTGCAGAATGGTGAGCACTATCTCAAGCAAATTTTGACAATGTATTCACAGTCATTACCCTACCCCCATGAAGGAGATGAGAAAATTGATTTAATTAAGTCTATATAAAATATAGAATGAACCATACTATTTAAATTATTTTGTGTTATGGAACTACTTTTCATGATTCACTATTTTTTTTCACCTCTCCCCCATTTTTTTCTGGCTACAGTTCTGGTCTGGACTATCAACCCCCCCACCCAACCCCCCCCAACCCCCCCCCCCCCCCCCCCCCCCCCCACCCCCCCCCCCCCCCCCCCCCCCCCCCGATTTTTTTTTCTGGCCACGGTCCTGAATGGGTCAGTATAACACTTTCTATACATGGTTTGGCTTTATAATGGCAAACCATGTAAAGCCGAACCAGCTCATCCAGTCTTTGTGATATTGTGAAATACAGTGCATTGTGAGAATCTCAGCCATAGTGACTCTCACATCCACCCATCTAGATAAACTGGGCAGAACTATGAATTCTGCGACCCAGTTTATGTGGTTCATTGACTTTAACAGAATGTTAAATTTGATATTGTCTTTCACTTCAGTTATTGATATCTGGATTTATGTGTGTGGTTTCCAATTAAAGGATGCAGGTAATATTGTTAAACACTGACACTCTGTTAAAATGGCAATGGATTTGGAAACCCAGCATTTTGACGAACACCAAATTGAGGGTCCAAATTTAATTTGAGTTGTCAGCTAGTTATTTACACATCTCTCGGTAGGCTACATTAGCTAAATATTTCAAATATTTGCCATTTAAACTTTTAGGATGTTGAGCATTCTCTTATAAATACCTTTTTATTTTTGTTTTTATATTATGAGTTTTTGCTACAATGGTATCAAACTCATCAGTGCAAATGAAAGAATAGGCAGAAGCTCAAAATGTCCAGGATTCAGACTTCCAAAGTTCCTAGTTAGGCCTTGTAGAATGGACACAAATGAAACATTGCAGATTAATTTTTGATATCTCAACAACAGATAATTGCTGTAATATCTGTTACTAAATCACAGCAAATACTCTTCTTGTATAAGCACCAGCATTTATTAGTATTAGACACAACAAAGCTTATTACTCATATTTCTGTGTCCTAATTGAAACACCAGAGAGTAGAACAGTTTGCATAGCACTATTAAATGTGTTGTAGTAAACATATGGACTGATGATCAGTCAGAAATCAAATGTTTTCATTGAAATGTATAATTGCTTTTAATTAAGTAGTTTATTAATGTCATAGTGCTAAAACTGTGACGATTATCTTATTTGACTTTGTGAATAGTGTTATTAGCATAGTAACTATCCCATTGTCATATCACTTTTCATTTAGTCTGTGTTTCTCACTTTAAGTTATACCTCTCTCTATGTGCGTATATGTCTTCAAATTTCCTGTCAACTTATGGCAACCCCATGAATTTCATAGGGTTTTCTTAAGCAAGGAATACTCAGGTGGTTTTGCTAAGTTTTCCCTCTGAAATAAAGTCACCAGAAATCTTTTAAAAGTAATGTAAAGTAGTAAAGTTTGGCTTGTAGGAAGATTTAGGAAATAGGGATCCAGTCATGGCTCCTACATGCCTCAAGTCCAGATAGCTCAGGGGTTTTCAAACTTTTTTAGCCACAGAGCCCTTTTTGAAGCAAAAGTTTATTGTGGAATCCCAAGAAATGTAATATATTATTCTATACTATGTAATATATTATTCTATATATCAGGCCCATGTATATATATCAGGCATGGTCCGGTCCGGTGTCAGATGGATGGAGAGTGTTTCTGTGAACTAATTCACACAATTAAAAGGAAAGGAAAGGAAGAACAATACAATGTTTTAAATGAAGAACAATTTTAACCAACATAAAACTGACAGCATTGCAGTGGAAGACTCCCAGGGCCATCCAGTCCAACCTCCTTCTACCATGCAGGAAAAACACAATCAAAGCACCTCCAACAGATGGCCATCCAGGCTTATAATAATAATAATGATAATGATGATGATGATAATAATAATAATAGAAACCCCAGAGGCCATCCAGTTCAACCCCCTTCTGACATGCAGGAAAAACACAGTCAAAGCACTCCCTGAGTGATGGAAGAGAAATGGGATTTTGGAAGCAAAGAAAGTGGGGATGAGGGTGGGAGGGTCCAAACAGGAAGGAAAAGAGTCTGGGCAGCAAGGGAGGCAGGGGGAAAGGGTCTGTGCCTTGGGAGGATGCTGCTGCTGTTTCTGACAGCTCAAAACTTTAATTTCCCTGCATTTCTCAGGAGGAAAGAGGAGGAGGCAGAAAGCAGACTCTCATTATCACCTGCAAAGCCTCAAGGGCTCCACAGAGCACAGTTTGAGAACCCCTGTTAAAGGACTGTATTTTCCTAGTTGATCATATCTGTGTCTTTGAGATTTTCTGTGGAGGACCTTCTTTCTGTCCTATAATCCTCAAATAAGCACACAAGAAGGCTTTCTCAGTGGCTTTTCCAATGCTCTGGAACTTTCTTCTGAGAGAGGTTAAACTTGCAGTGTCTCTTTTGTCTTTCCACTACCAGGTTAAGACAGAACACTGTCTGCTCAAGTGTAATAGATGCTGTGTTTTATTTATTTATTTTGTTAATAGTTCTGTTTTTAACTGGTTTTAATTTCATAGATAGCTTAATTACACTTCTAAATTTTGTATTTGATCCATTGTTTGAATATACCTCCCTTAACTGTTGTAAGCCACCTGGAGTATCAAATCTGAAAGAAAGCAGAATATAAATACATGTAAATATCACCATCCTATTGCCTTAGATTCATGAAACTTATTCAGCATCCTCATGATAAAAATAATAGTGTTCCGTACCTTGTGTTCTACTACTGTTTCAGTGGCGTTTACTCTGTTTACAGTTCTGGGCATTTAAAAAAAATGCTCCAAAATGAATTGTTCTGACATATTTATGGGATATCGCGTTTGACTGTTGATGTAATAATACAGCCTATGTTCCACTATTTTTTGAACTTGTCAGACTTAATTCATTTTTCTCTGGTTTTTGCAGAAGTTGCCATTTCCATCTTTGAAAAGATGCAAGCACAAGAGATCCTAAGGAACCTGCGACTTCCAGAGTTTGAAGATTTCAGCCAGTTTTTCCGAAGTTTGCCTGCTACCACTTTGGTCGGCATTGGTGCCTTTGCAGCCGTTGTTGCATATTGGCTGGCTAGCCGGCCCAAAGCAGTGAAACCACCATGTGACCTCCAGATGCAATCAGAAGAAGTTGAGGTGAGGTTACTACTCATTATAATGAACAGAATTGCATTTTCTGATGAGTAATATCCTTTTCTTTAAAAATAATAATAAAAGAACAGAGCTTTTCTCATTAGTTGGCTATGCCATTCTTACTGCATTGATCTTTTACAATATTCATAGGCAACCTTCTAAAAATTATGATAGCATAATGGATCTTAACTGAAAAGCTAGGCCATAATGATTTTTGTGCTTTTTGTCTAATTGATGCTTAAGTACATGGAATTTGTTGGTGTGGTGGGGAAAAGACAAGTAATACTGGATGTTTTATTTGGCACAGCTTTCTGTGATTGGAATGTGATGTAATATATTAGACTGCTAGCAGATGCATGGATATTAGATGCCCAAAGAATGGGTGAGAATTGAAGATAAAGTAAGAAAGTCGTATAAATTTTTTATATTATTTTTGGTAGAGGGTAGAAATTAAAAGCACGTCCAACTTGCCTTAGAGCATTCTGGGGTCATGATACAGGGAAATGGTTCCTCATATCAGGATATGAATCAAGACAAAAAGTGGAAGCTCTGGTAATTCAGATTGAATTGCCATCTTTGGGTCTCATTAGTGACAACTACACTGTTGAGCTCTCTGAGTGTATATTTTCCTGTGAAAGTGTCACAGTTCAAACAATAGCTGAATATAAATTGGTCTCCTGCCTAATTTTTAAATATATCAATAAACAAGAGTGTGTTTTCTAGAAGAATAAATTTAATTGAACTCTGATTCAGTAAAAATAAATATTTCTGCTGCAATTTTTCACAGAAGTTCTGTATCATTTACAGAAAATGCTTAAATTGTGCTAGATATTAACAGAGATTCTGCAGTGTTGGTTTTCTCAGGAATATGAGCAATGCAATAATATCCCCTTGTGAGTGTTCTTGTTTGTAATGTGTTTTCTAATCCTTGGAGACACGTTTGTAAAAGCATACATAAAGCAAGTTAATTATATAGTGATTCCTTTTATTTATTTGTATGCTTATATTTATTTTGTATGCTTATATACCGCAATATCTCAGCCTACAACGGCGACTCATTGCGGTTAACAGTACTTAAAAACAACAATAATCAAACAATTTAAAAGCATAAAAAACATATACAGTACACAGTATCGGGCCACCAATACCAACCAATGCATCTCTTAGTTAAAATCATAATCCGAATTCATCGTCAATAATTACCAGTCCTTGTCATCAACTTCATCGCACCGGATTACCCAAATGCTTGTTCAAACATCCATGTCTTAAGTTTTTTTCGAAATACCAACAGCGAGGGAGCTGATCTTATCTCTATAGGGAGGGCATTCCAAAGCCGAGGGGCCACCACAGAGAAGGCCCTGTCTCTCGTTCCCGCCAGCCGCACTTCTGAAGCCGGAGGGACAGAGAGCAGGGACTCTCCAGAAGATCTTAAGGGTCCTGGTGGGCTGATAGGCTGAGATACGTTCGGATAGATAAGTTGGGCCAGAACCGTTTAGGGCTTTAAAGGCCAATGCCAGCACTTTGAATTGGGTCCGGTAGCTAATCGGCAGCCAGTGGAGCTGGTACAGCAGAGGAGTTGTATGCTCCCTGCGCCCTGCTCCTGTTAGTACCATGGCTGCCGCCCGTTGGACTAGTTGGAGCTTCCGAGCCGTCTTCAAAGGCAACCCCACGTAGAGAGCGTTGCAGTAGTCAAGGCGGGATGTACCCAGAGCGTGGACTACCGTGGCCAAGTCAGACTTCCCAAGGTACGGTCGCAGTTGGCGCACGAGTCTTAACTGTGCGAATGCTCCCCTGGTCACCGCCGAAACCTGGGGGTCCAGGCTCAGCGCTGAGTCCAGGATCACACCCAAACTGCGAACCTGTGTCTTCAGGGGGAGTGCGACCCCGTCTAACACAGGCTGTAACCCTATACCCTGTTCGGCCTTGCGACTGACCAGGAGTACCTCTGTCTTGTCTGGATTTAATTTCAATTTGTTCGCCCTCATCCAGACCATTACAGCGGCCAGGCACCGGTTCAGGACTTCGACAGCCTCCTTAGTAGCAGGTGGAAAGGAGTGACAGAGTTGGACGTCATCTGCGTACAGGTGACCCCGTACCCCGAAACTCCGGATGATCTCACCCAGCGGCTTCATGTAGATGTTAAACAGCATGGGGGACAATATGGAGCCCTGAGGAACCCCACAAGACAAAGGTTGTGGGGTAGAACAGGAGTCCCCCAGTAACACCTTCTGAGACCGACCCTCGAGGAATGACCGGAGCCACTGCAGAACAGTTCCTCCAAGACCCATTCCCGCGAGGCGTCCCAGAAGGATACCGTGGTCGACGGTATCGAAGGCCGCTGAGAGGTCGAGCAGCACCAACAGGGACACACTCCCCCTGTCGAGCTCCCGACGGAGATCATCCACTAAGGCGACCAAGGCTGTCTCGGTACCATGCCCCGGCCTAAAGCCAGACTGTGCCGGATCCAGATAATCCGTGTCTACCAAGAATGCCTGGAGTTGTGAGGCCACCACACGTTCCATGACTTTGCCCAAGAAAGGGGAGATTGGAAACAGGCCGATAGTTGACGAATTGAGTGGGGTCCAGTGATGGTTTCTTCAACAGCGGTTTTATCACAGCTTGCTTTAAGCTGGCTGGAATTTTGCCTTCCCGAAGGGAGGCATTAACCACCACCTTCACCCACTCGGCCAATCCCCCTCTGGCCTCCTTTAGAAGCCAGGATGGGCAGGGGTCTAGGATGCATGTGGTAGCTCTCATTCCTCCAAGCACCTTGTCCACATCCTCGGATTGAACCAATTGAAATGAATCCATCAAAATTGGACAAGCAGATGCTTTTATGACAAAATTGGACAAGCAGATGCTTTTATGACAATCAACACTTTGTTATTTTATTTTAAACATACACACAAAAACTTCTTTATGGAAAAGTGATTGCAGTTTGTAGACCTAAAAGGTATAGCTGAGTATTTCAAATGGAATATGTAAGCTGTGTTACAGCTGGCATTTTCCCCCAAGAGAAATTGCTACACAACCATACAGCAAGTTTAATAAAACCAACCAAAGATAGTAGTTTAGGAGGAAAGTTCTATTGAACAAAAATAAATATTTTAAGAAAAAATATCTCTGAAATCTGTTGTTGAAGCCTAGTCTTTAGATTCACAGACACAAATAAGGTGGCCGCTGTGGAAACAAAGAATGTCTAAGGCTGTGTCTATATTGAGCAGGTGAGTCTGAAGTACATCTGTCTGGAGAAGCTCCAGACCCATCATGTAGATGCAGAATCCACTTCTGTTGTTCAGATGGACTCATCCTCTGTGTTGCTGTCATAGCAGTGTGGAAAACGGGATTGTATCAGTTTCAGTCTGATCCTCTGTCCAGACAGACATCAGTATCATTTCCCTGTAGTAATCAACATAGCAGAAAGGGATGGCTCATACCGATGTCACCATTGCTACTCCACACCAACCATGAAGCTCTCCCTGAGCACCTGGCCATCATCTGTTCCATCTACTGATATTAGAATGGGGTACTCCTGCAATAAGCAAGAAGGAGAGAATAGATGAACACCTTTCTCCTTGCTGGTTGCCTGGCACCCTGTTCTGACAGCAGCCAGGCAATCTGAAAGAACACCACTGTTGATGGGGAGCACCAATGGCAAGGCAGGGATTTGCCATCCCCTTTCCCCTATGTTGATCCGTGCATGAAAATAGAGGTGATTGTGATGTCCATCAGGACAGGGAAGCCAACCTAGCTGTCCACTGCTGTGAAGTTCCAAGATACTCTAGAACAGGGGTTCTCAAAACTTTTCAGACTTTTTGAAGCTAAAGTTTCTTGTGGAGACCCAATAAATGTTTATATATTATATTATATATAATGTATATATATCAGGTAGGGACAAACTTTTGAAGAACAATTCTAACTAACATAACTTAACAGTATTTCAGTGAAAAATCCCAGGGGCCATACAGTCCAACGACCTTCCCATGCAGGAAAAACACAATCAAAGCACTCCAACAGATAGCCACCCAATCTTTGTAATAATAATTGTAAGGAACAACCCAAAGGGCCATCCAGTTCAACTCCCTTCTGCCATACAGGAAAAACACAATCAAAGCACCCTCTGAGCAGTGGGAGAGAAATAGGGTTTTGGAAGCAAAGAAGGTAGGGTGTGGGGTCTGAGTGTCAAGAAAAAGAGTCTGGGGAGCAGGAGAGGCAGGAGAGATGGGAAGATGGTGGTCCTGCTGTTTTGGGAGCTCCAAACTTCTTATTTGGAGCTCAAGATGCTATGGACCACAAGATGCAGACTCAATTGGACATGATTTTATCTTGGCAAATTGGCTTATATGTATTTTACCCTATATGTATTTTAATTCACTGTTGATGTTTGTTGTTACAGTGTTATGATATTTTAGATTGTACTATTAGCATTGAATACTTGCTGTTAGCCAGTCTGAGTCCCTCTACAGAGGTAGAGAAGATCAGGATATAAAGGTTTTAAATAAATATTTCTCTGCGTTTCTCAGGAGGAGGAAAGAAGAGGCTAGTGCTGCAGAGCCCCTCACTATCACTTGTGGAGCCCCAAGGGCACCACAAAGTATAGTTTGAGAACTCCTGCTCTAGAGCTTCCCTCAGCTTTGCCTAACTTGGGACAAAGTTGGATTAAGACAAGAAAATCTGTGATACTCACCAGAAGTCACTTTTCCTTGTGGAGCCAGATAGTAGTAGATAGTAGTAGAGTCTGGATTTTCTGGTTGGTGTAGATAATCCATAAGATAGGTCTTTGGTCTGAGCCAACTAAGTTATTTCTATGTGTTTAGATTTAGAAGGATCAGTTATACCAAATCAAGGATTTTATCTACTTTGAAAATTCAGACTGTTTAGTGTGATTAATCTTAGGAGTTAGAGCAGCCTAAATAAGGAGAAAATGTTTGAGACATCATTGTTAGATATCAGAAAACTGCAAAATCTGTATGTTAAAAAAACAGTCTGTTTCAAAATTATGAAGGATACCAATGCAGTTCATGCAGTGTGGGACCTGAGACAGGAATACAGAGATCTCCATTTTACTCCATCTAGCACAGGCATAGGCAAAATTGGGCCTTCTAGTTGTTTTGGACTTCAACTCACACTATTCCTAACAGCCAGTAGAATTGTGGGAGTTGAAGTCCAAAACACCTGGAGGGTTGAAGTTTACCCATGCCTGATCTAGATGAATATTGTCAACTGTGCTGGGCAGTAATGACTTTGTTAGGATTTTTAGAAAGGAGTCTTTCTTACACCTAGCTGAAGATCCTGGTTGTTTCCTATTCAGGTATTAGACAGACCTAACACTTCTTAGTTTCCAAAGTCAGGCAAGATCACTTGTGCTCAGAGTAATATGATATCACAGAGATTTAACATCTATGGGCAAGCATGGTGCAAGGTAGAATATTTGCATTCCATTCCAGCAGGGTTTTGAGAGGAGAGAAGGATTTTGCTGTTTACTTTATTGTGTTCCTATATTTTTCAAAACCAGAGGGTGAGTTGGGAGATGTCAGAAATGAATGAGAAGTGCTGAAGGAGCCTGTGAAATGCATCCTTGTTCTGGAAACTGTTGTTACATTGTCACTTTATTTCTTATGGTTGTCATACTGAGCAATTCTTAAGAAATGAATTTAGTTGGAGATATGACTGCAACATTAGTTCAAGTGCTGTGGACTTTGGTAGAGCATATCTTAAAATGGTGCTTTGAGTATAAACCTAATAGCTTAAGATCCTTTACTGAATGAACAAGTGTATAATAAAAAATAAAACAATTGAATACATGCATTCCTTACCTAAAACATAGGATCTGCAGTGGCGCAATGGACTAAACCCTTGAGCTGGCTGAACTGCTGACCTGAAGACTTGAAGGTCTGCGGTTTGAGTCTGTGAGATGGGGTGAGCTCCCATCTGTCAGTCCTAGCTTCCCATGCAGGGACATGAGAGAGGCATCCCACAGGATGATAACACATTCGGGCATCCCTTGGGCAATGTCCTTGCAGACAGCCAAAACTCTCACATTGGAAACGACTTGCCCCAAGCCGCTTCTGACATGATAAGAAAAAACCTAAAACATGAGATGCTTTATTTAAATGACAAAAGCCCGAAGAGACAAATATTTACCACTTTTCATTTTAAGAAAAAATTAGAAGTAATAAGTAAACCTAACAGGCTTGTCTGGCCAGTAAATAACAAGGGAGATATACACTTCCTTGGGATAAGTATGGATTTTTATATACAATGGCATTTGTTTATTTACATCAGTTGATTAAAATAGTAAGATCACTCAAACGCAAACTGTAGCAGGTGTCTGTTTTTAGGCAATGCAGACATAAAGATACTATGTGGACAGATGTATGTTTTGCCTCAAAGGCAACGAGTTTGGCCTCAGTGAAAAGATAATTGCTTGCCAAAAGTTTCTATTTATGTATAAGATCATAGAGTATTTCAAACTTGCAATTTTGCTATATTGATTTTTTCTGAACACTTTGTTTTGTACCTTGAATTTGAAAGTATTCTCATTGCCAGCCCCAGAAATGCTCCCTACGGATACTCATATGGAATTAAATGTATTTTTCATGAGTCTTGCTGCATCATTCCTTTTGCCCACAAAGCAAGTCAGTGATGAGAGCGGGGGATTGTTCTCTTCGCAGCTGCATCCTTCAACCTTCAGTTACTTTCCTGCTGACCTTCACAATATCTCTTTACAGAGTTGAACAATTCCACAAGGCTTGTGATCTCTATTAAACCTACTTCGATAAGGTTTAATGCCCTTCTTATTTTATAGATCAGAATTTAAGTCTTCATTTGTCCCAACTTTCCTCCTTCAGCAAATGTGGAGGGCTGTCTATACTATGCGACCTATTGTACTTGTATCCCATCGAAATATTTAAGTTTAGATGTAAATACTGTGTGTTGTTTATCTGGAAAGATGCCAAGTCTATTTTAATGTTGCAGAACACTTTTGAGTAACTCTTTGCTGATAAGAATATAGGAACCATGATTAACTAACTAGTTTACGTAATGTCAACTGTCACAATGGTGCTTTCAAGCAATGTTGCTCAAAAGTGAGTATTAATATTGGCGCCATGATGGAGAGAGCAGAAGAGGTCAGTACTTCTTTTTAGGTACTGTCTCCTGGGACAGACCTTTCAGTACAGGATTTACATTGATTTATGGAGACGTTGACCCAGATTATTTTTAGGTTAATTTTTTGACTAAAATTTCTAGTCATATATAAGTATATAGCATAAGTAAGTTTCAGTTTAGCTTGCATGAAGACTAAGGCCCCTTCCACACAGTCCTATATCCCAGAATTTCAAGGCAGAAAATCCCATATTATCTGTGTGTGGACTCAGATAATCCAGTTCAAATCAGATATTGTGGGATTTTCTGCCTTGATATTTTGAGATATAGGGCTGTGTGGAAGGGCCCTGAGATGGGTTTAGCATACTTATTACATTGTCATTGAGTCTGCTATTTAATCGTTTTATAACTGATAATAGGAATGAGTCTTCTCAGATTATACTTCAAGTAAGCGTCTTTCCCATAAATTCCTGATCTCAGTTTTGTTTAATTTCTTTGTAGGGCTGGAATGGTGCACGAAGATCTGTAATTGGTGACAGCTCACAATTGCTAACTCACTACTATGATGATGCAAGAACCATGTATGAGGTTTTTAGGAGGGGGTTTAATATATCTGGTAAGTAATGGGATATTTTAATGTTCTATAGCGCAATGTTGATCTTGTTGGTTTAATTTCCCAAAAGACCAATAAGAGGCTGATCGGTTCGTATAGTGTAAGAATACAGTAATGGGATTTTTTAAAACTAAAAATGTTTATACGTGTTGATGATTCATATTTTGGAAGTTGAGCTCTGTTGTTGACAATGATTAGGACAGATCTATTGTTACCTTTGGGGGGCAAGTCCATTAAAAAACTGTGTCCTTAGGGTAGTACCTTGTCTAAAAATCTCAGCCCCCTTCTACACTGCCATATAATTCAGATTTTCAAAGCAGATAATCCATATTATCTGCTTTGAACTGGATTATATGAGTCTACACTGCCATATAATCCAGTTCAGAGCAGATAATCTGGATTTTATATGGCAGTGTAGAAGGGGCCTCAGTAGTAGTTCAAATGGAGCTGTTGTCGAAGGAAAAAGGTTAAAGGAATTCATGTTTATAGAAAATACTTTGGAAAGGCTCCAGATGGAACATCCTGCCATGACGCCTGTCTCCTGCATGCTCAGATCTCTTTTTAGCAATCCTCTTGAAGTCTTCCACAATGTATTGATTATTTACCAAATATGTTTGCAAGCCAATAACTAAATGTTCTTTGGGCAGTTTTTCTCAGAATAGTGAAATTTAAGAAATTTAGGAAAAATAAGATAAATATAACAAACCCATGGCAGCATCAAAAGCTTCAGATGTTAAATTTTCTAAAATTGTCAACAGCTCTATAAATTATTAAAGCTGATAACATCAAGATGTAAAAGTCTATAGAAGGAAAAAAGTTATTATCCTGACAATGAAAGGACATATGTATATTTGCTAGGGGAGTCTTTAGAGCTTCATGTTTGGGGTGTCATAGAATCAGAGAATCATTGAGTTGGAAGAGACCTCGTGGGCCATCCAGTCCAACCCCCTGCCAAGAAGCAGGAAGTGACTCACTGTACCTCATACAGGCTGAAAGAAAAGGGCACCGAATACAGGAAAGGAAAGGAGAGGAGAGGAAAGGAGAAGTGTAGTTATTTAGTCATTCAGTGGGTATAGCAACTTGGGCTCTTTAATAGGTAAATGTTTGAAATAGTTCAAACTTGACCTATTTAAATCTAATACCTTGCTTTTCTATTGCTGGCCATGGGAGTAGTCGGTTTTCTGCTGACCTACATTTCGGGAGATGGGCTCATAAGTTGGTTGGAGGAGAAATAAGGCATACAGAAAGGGTACCATAGAAAGGTAATGAATAGATCAATCCAAAGTCCAACAGTAAGGGGGGGGGCTCTGTAGAGTTGCCCATCACAATTTCAAACTCTTTTTTCTCCCCACTTAAGCCACTGGAAGAAATGAACAATGTTAGATTGGGTTTTCAGAGCTGTGGCATTGTAATGACAGGACTTGGCATCCTGTTGAGTGGCATCGTTCTATGATATGGCTCATAATACACAATTCTGGCCCTTTATTCTTGTGTTAGGCAAAAAAGATAATAAGGAAGTAGAATTAGACCAGACTGTATATGCCATGTGCTAAAAAGAAACTCAATTTTTCCTCTGTCACACCCACTTTATCTTCTTCACTCTCTGTCTAACAGGGATTGTGAATAAGATCTGGAGAACCACAGACTTTTTGTGTCAAGCTCCAGCAGTGTACCTGCAGTAAACAATAGAATAAGCAAAGCTTGAGCTAGTTTCTGCTCTAGCCAATTGTACTGTTACCATGTGTGCCTACCTACAACGGGTGCCTCTAGAATCACTTACTGAGCATGTACAAACAGCAAAACGGAGGGGAAACAAGAGAGAGCAGCTAAGCCTTCTTACCTCCAATTTGTTAAAAAACATAGATGTATAAATCTGGTCATCAAAGTGAAGTTTATAAGAAAAGTTGAAGCTGGGGAAAAATAATTTCTGGATGTATTTTTAAAGAATCTTTCAAGTGACCTCTAGCAGGTTCAAATTGTTTTTATGTACCTGCGCAATGCCTGGCATTGTTATGTCATTTACATGTACATATTGTTAGTTTTGGACAAAATGTTTGCTGAAATAAGTTAAAGTAGTGTCATTTCTGCAGTTTTTTCTTTGTGTCAGGGGCGACTTGAGAAACTGATGTTTTGCTGTTTTACCATCCTTGTGGGAGGCTTGTCCCCACATGGGGAGCTGGAGCTGACAGAGGGAACTCATCCATGCTCTCCACGGATTCGAACCCCTGATCTGTCAGTCTTCAGTCCTGGCGGCACAAGGGTTTAACCCATTGCACCTCCGGGGGCTCCTATTTAAATCTAATACCTTGCTTTTCTATTGCTGGCCATGGGAGTAGTCGGTTTTTTGCAGTGTAGAAACCTATATCTGGAACCTATTTTTATTATTTCCATGTTATTTCTGCCTAGCAATATATCTACTTGATTGACTGAGTGAAAAAACATAGCCATATTAGTCTGGAATACCAATGTCCAAAGGGATTTTGTAACAGCTTCAGAGACTGTCATAAGAGAAAGAAGCCGGTGGCATAAACTTTCATAGACTAAGGGCTGGGAGAAACCGGCTTTGCTGTGTGGATGATTGGATTGCCATGTCTGCAGCAGGGTTGAAGCCAGGATGATGATTACATTAACAATGGAAGGTGGCCTCAAACATCTTCCAGATCTGCAGTATCTTCAATGAGCTTGCCAGGGAATGCAATTTACCCCTTCCCCCATTTCCAGTTGAGATACCAGCACTCCAGAGGCATAAGAGGCAGGAATAAGTCACATTTACCTGTGGAGGCAGTCAATAACCCCTCCCAGGGGCTCAATTTGCTCCCCTGCTGCTCAGCTATGCCCTTGGGGTGTTTTTCCGGCAGCCCTCTCCCTCCCCAGGTTACAAAGCACTCCAGAGCAGGTGGGTATGTACAAAGAACTCTGCATTTTGCAGAGCCAATTTCACCATGTAGTGTGGTTTAGATTTGGGTCTTTCTGAAAAACATTAAATGTCTTAACTCAAACTTTCTCCTGACTTCTTAATGCATGGCTTTATTTTGCACTGCAGTGCATTTTTGTAGCAACTACAGTTTGAAGCTAGCTGATCATTCTTCGGACTGGATTATATGGTCATGTAGATGTTCCCTAAGTTTGCTTTTTCAGATGTATCTGCAGCTGTGATAGAACATCTGTTTTAATATCAGAATGCAGTCAGCACCTGTGAAAAACAGTACAAAGTGCTTTATCCATTATCACTTTAATCAGATGAGAGATGATTATGAAACAGAGGGCCCTTCCACACAGCCTTATAACCTAGAATATTTAAAATACATTTCAACTGGATTATCTGAGTCTACACTGCCATATAATCCAGTTCAATGTGGATTTTATACAGCTGTGTGGAAGGGGCTAGTGTATTTTATTTATTGTATCAGTATCAACCAGAGAATTGTATTACATTTTTAACAAACAGACAAAACAGAGTTTGCAAGCTTGGTAGTTGATTAAATGTCCTTTGACCAGTATCTGGCCACTTGGAGTGCCTCTGGTGTTGCTGCAAGGAGGGGCTAGAGTGATCAAGGCAGATTCCTGGTTTCTGGTTAGTTTAGCCCTTCCACACAGCTCTTAAAAAATTAGTTGTTGTTCTACAGAGCTTTGCTTGACAGGTATTTTTCCACGTGGGACTATCAGAATGAGTTGGAGGAATGCGGTACAAGGTGGACAATTGCAAAACTCTCTGGACCCATGGCCTTTATCAACTCCAGGCTGGAGTTACAGCTTCATACATTATGTTACAATTTAAGCTTACTTTCATAAAAAATGAAGAGCATGTACACACTTGAAGTGTTGTGTGTTTTGTAACTTCAAACATATCAGCAGTAGTTGCATACTCACCCTGCCCTGTAGTGATCAAGTTCTCTTGTATCTTCAAGATTTGCCATCTCCTTAGATCTTGGCAAATATACATTGGCTGATATCCCAAAACTGTTGGGGCCACCCTAACTTCCTGTTCATTTCTTTGGTTAACCCTCTTTTGACCCTTACTTTATCCTAGGGCCCATACAAGCCCTACACAAGTTCCTCTGCTTCTAACCGTTTTTTCTTTGAGCTTCATACTGTTTTCCCTACATCTATACTCTTTTGCTGTTTTCCCTCCATCCATCTCATATTCTTGCAAGAACAGTGTTGCAAATTCTGTTCAGTGATGTTGAGTTCAAAAAGCATTGCTCTTGAGTAAGGCATTTTTCAGAATACAACTCTGAGGTATTTTTGACATGTTTGCGCAAGGAATCACCCTGAGATATGAGTATTATAACTCCAGCATAGAAAACTTGATGCCCTTAGGGTCCTTTGATCTTCCACCTCGATAGGCCACAGTCAGTATGACCTATGCTCAGGAGCAGCAATAGAAAACATCTCAAGGGCATCAAGTTGCTGACCTATGTTGCAACTTCTTTTAATTGTTCCCATTTGCAACTGGGACAAAGGTAGATTGATATAAGGACTTTGCTATTGTCAGTTCCAAGCTGTACAAATTTGTCCTCTTTTTAATGCTTGGAACTAAGAAGGCTTTTGCTCTAGTTTATGCTGATTCTTACCCTGCTTGCTTGTGCAAACATTATTATTATTATTATTATTATTATTATTATTATTATTACTTTATTTGTACCCCGCTAGCATCTCCCGAAGGACTCGATGCGGCTTACATAGGTCAAGGCCTCAAAACACAACACAACAATGCAACACCTAAAGCAAAATTAAAAACAGATTAAGCAATATAAACAACAAACAATAAGCAATAACATCGAGACACTATAAAGCTGGGCCGAGCCAGAGTAATGGGTACAAGATTAAAAGTGCTGATATGGCAGGAGGTATGTAGGATTATAAAGTAAGTGCAGTGTGCGGTGTGCAGCAGTCTTAGTTCTACTAAAGTGCTTCTGGGACTTGGTAATGGAGATTCCTAATCTGGGAAATAGATGTCCCGTGCTGTAGCTGCACAAAACTATGCCAGGGCTGGTCAGGCTACAAAATTAGAATCCCATCTAGTTTTCTCCTACATAAAGTGAGGGATCCCAAACATGTGATGCTTCAGTAGTCTGGCTTGAGGAACGTGTGTAGTGAAGGTAAGGAAAGGATCAATATATGCCATCCACCTAGAGCATGCTTTTGTTTTTACTTGGATGAATCTATTGCTGGAGAGAATTATATGAATAATTTGGCATAACCAAGGAATATTAATATTAGAGGAAATATTTACAAACTTGGGGCTTCAGAGATTACTGCCCTACAGCTCCCATCACCACTGCTAGCTGGGAATGATGATATCTGGAATTCCACAACATCTGGAGATTTAGAGTGTGAAATGATTAGGTAAGGCCAGTGATTCCCAAACATTGATTATTCAGATGTCTTGGGCTTCATCTCCAAGAAGCTCTAGTCAACAATCATGAATTCTGGAAGATGAAGTCCAAAACATCTAGAGGAACATAGCCTGGGAACCACTGGGTTAGGCCTTTGTATTTGTCAACCTGAGCATGGGAAGTGCCTCTGCAGAGATAAACCATGCATGTCTATAGAATCTTTCTGGAGAACCAAACCAGATGTTGGACATCTTGATTGGGCATTTTTTCAGCCCTTGTACACAACAACTTTTATATCTGATAGAGGATGAATCGTGCAGGGACGCCTCAAGCACCCACCTTACACAAAAGTAGTTTGGGGCAGGGGGAGGGGGATGTGGCAGCAGCCCTTCCCACATTCCCATCAAGGAATAGGAGGATGTCAGCAGGCGTCTGAAAAAGCAGACAAGCATTTGTATTTTATCCCACCTTCCTTCCAAAAGCAGTAGGCTTGATGATATGATGGCAGGAAAGATAATATGGTGATATCAATCATGCTCATTACCATGACCCTAGTTCCGCTTTCTACCATGGCTCAGCAAGGAAGGGGGGGGGGGGTAATACTGCAATTTCTATGCTCCTCCTCTTCCTTGTGACCTTGGCTCTTTCCTGTATTAGCTAATATTGCTACTTCTGCCCATATTTCTTAGACAATTCAAAATTTCTTTTTATAAAATATATTTTATTTATTTTATCATAATTCAATGCATTTGTTTTTGCATCATTTGCTTTACAGCAGACAAATAATATTCAACACAATCTACAAGATTAATCAATTTTTCATAATTTCCTTTTATAAAAATCAAAAACAAACGAAATCAGTGGGAGGTGACTCTTTTATTTTATTTTATGTGTATTTATATCCCACCTTTCTCCCAAAGGCTTGAAGTCCTGGTTAGATGGTGATGTCACAGCATTTTAAAGAAAAGCTCTATTAATAATGGAACAGATATGTTTAATTAGAATCATAGAATCAAAGAGTTGGGAGAGACCTCACGGGCCATCCAGTCCAACCTCCTGCCAAGAAGCAGGAATATTGCATTCAAATCACCCCTGACAGATGGCCATCCAGCCTCTGTTTAAAAGCTTCCAAAGAAGTAGCCTCCACCACACTCCAGGGCAGAGAGTTCCACTGCTGAACGGCTCTCACAGTCAGGAAGTTCTTCCTCATGTTCAGATGGAATCTCCTTTCTTGTAGTTTGAAGCCATTGTTCCTTGTCCTAATCTCCATGGAAGCAGTAAACAAGCTTGCTCCCTCCTCCCTGTGTATCATTTCACTTATCTCTTTGAAGATTTATGGCCAGGGTCACAATTTGTTAACTTAGTTATAATTTTACCCCACTCCTACAGCAGTGTTAAGTGGGCTTGAATATTTGTGGCTTTAGCATCATTTCATCAGAGCATCAGAAGAAGTGGATTGAGAAAGCTTGTGCTGACCTAAATCAATCTCAGTTGTAAATTTTCCCTCCCTCCTCCCCAACACCCTTTTAGTCTGTTGAATCTCAAAGACACTTACAAAAAGGGAAAGATCCAGATGGTTTTTTGAGAATGCAACATTTCATTAAGCAAGATAGCCTTCATTTGCATTGGATGGTCTTCTGTATGAGATGGTGGATTACCAACACAACACACTGACCTTGATAATAATCATGGTTTATTTTAAAGCAAACTGTCCTGCTGAGAAACACTCCATATACCAATAACCACATTGATAACTTGCTTTGGGAAAGGATTGCCAAATTTACAGTTCTTGTCATCTGTTTCTTTTTAGAAAACGGACCTTGTTTAGGATTCAGGAAACCCAAACAGCCTTACCAATGGCTGTCCTATAAAGAGGTAACATTTATGAAATTTCCCCCTAATAAAACCTAAGCAAATTGAAATTAGGGTTTCAATAGATACTGTTCAGTTGTTGCTTCCCTTAACCTCATGCCTCCCATAATTCCCAGTCACCATGCTAGTTAGTAATGATGGAAGTTAAAATCTTAACACATCTGACAGGCACTAGTTTGAGTAAGGCACACAAGAAAGTAAGAATAGTACTTTTTGGATTATAATCGCAGTAATTATGGTGTGGAGATTCTGGGAGTTGTACCCCCTAATACTTTTTCAAGGCCACACACCAAATCCACATGGAGCGATCCAACATTCAGAATGAACTGCTTTTGTTTTCCGTTATGGTTCTGCTTATTTCCATAGGCCTGTAATAAAATGATATCTCTCATTCTCTACTAGTATTATTGAGGAAAGGCTAGGAAGGAAAGGAAGGCCTATATAATCTCCAGCCAAGAAGGGTGGGAACTGAAACTGTCACACAATTCGCAGAATCACAACATCATTTATTTATGCCAGCAGATATACCTAAATCCATTGTTTGAACTGTAGCTGTTTACATCTTCTCCTTCAAATAGTTGAACAAGCTATTCCATAGTCATATTTAGTTTGAGAGGGATGCAGGTTAGAAAAGTTTGTCAGAGGAAGGCAAAGCAAAAAAGGGAACAAGGTAGACGTAGGGGACAGGCAGTTCCCTGGGAAGTGTTGAACAACATCTGAATAATATAGAAAATGACTTTGTGTTCATTCTTTGAATTTGTTCCTTTTAGGTTGCTGAGAGAGCAGAAGCATTGGGATCAGGCTTACTCCAAAAAGGGTGTAAGCCATCAACAAGTCAGTTTATTGGAGTCTTTGCCCAAAACCGGCCAGAGGTAAGGGTTAGGAGATGCTATAGTCTTCCTTCCTACTGGAAATTTTCCTCATATTTACTGCATACTGTAACATATATATTTCATTATCTCCTTGCAGTGGATCATTTCTGAGCTGGCTTGCTATACCTATTCTATGGTTGTCGTTCCACTGTATGATACATTAGGCCCTGGAGCCATTCGTTATATTATCAACACAGGTAAAAACATAGAATACATTTTCTCTGTGAACAGCTCCTGAGAATGCTATCTGTGCTATGTAAAACAACAACCACATAAAAAAGGAGAGGCAACTTCTCAGTTTTTAGAAGATGAAATAGAAAAATATAATTTTTTATCAGATGCATGATTACAGATGGCCATTTACCACCCCAGATATTTGGCCATGTCCCTTGGTAGGATGGTACCTTAGATCACTGCTTCTTAAACTGTGAGTCCTGATCCCAAATGGGGTCCTCTTAGCTCAGGTTGGGTGTCACAAAAAATTGGCAACAGGAAACGTTTCTGAATGCCACCAATTTACACAAATCTGTTAGCAACTACATTCAGTGTTTCCAATAGACTCTAGAAAATGCTTCAAAAAATGAAATCAGCCTGTTTAACAATCCTTACAAATGCTGCTAATAAATATTTGCTTTTTTATACCTATTTTTATACCTATATATCTGGAGCCGCGTAAAAAAATATTGAGCAGAAAGGGGTCACAAGTGGAAAAAGTTTTTAAAGGCCTGCTATAGACAGTGAAATGGCTTCACAGCAGTTATTTTTACATCATCAAGCCAAAGTCGTCATAAGATAGGTTATTTTACAGACACTTTGAAGTACCAATATCAAAGTTGTTTTGCAGAAACTACTAATCATTTTGACTTTTCAAGTATCATTTCCCTACATATGAAAAAAATATAATTTCAGCAGGGAAATAAGAGGTAATTTAACAAGTTCACACCTTAGAACACACTTCCAAAGATAGATGATGAAAAGACTAGTCTAACCATAGCTCTCTGTGGGTTAGGAGTCTCAAGGCAGCATTTGATCATTCCTGTAATCATCCACTGGCTACATGGTATCAGATCAACTTAAATTTTCATGTTTGCATTTGACTTTTTGATAGCAATAATCATTTTATATTAGATTGAATCAATCCTTCCCCCCAAAGAACCTTAATAGAGGTTGTGATAGGATGCTGTAGTGCTTTGGGTGTTGGACTAGGATTCTGGGAATCTGCACTTGGCCACGGAAATCCATTGAGTGACCTTAGGCAAATCACACTGTCAGCCTCAGAGGAAGACAATGGCAAAACCTCTCTGAACAAATCTTGCTAAGGAAACCCAGGGGTTGAATTTCTTTAGGGTTGCCATAGCTCTTAAATGACTTGAAGGCACACACTATAAAGAAATATAGTCTAAGTTAAAAGGGCATGCTCACTACAGTATTGTTGTTATTGGCAAGAGAGGGAGGAGGAGAAAGAGAAAGCCAGATCTGGAAAGACATATATAACAGAACCAGCTCTGTGGGAAGTCGCTGACATTTTCCCATGCTGTGATTCTCTAGTCAATAATAAAGGCTAAAAAATGCCTAATGAATTCATCTTAGCAGGGTAGCCGAGGCTGTGAGGACAAAAGTAGAAAGTTTCAGAAAAGGTGGGTGATGAGAATGGAGGAATGGGTGCTCAATACAATTTATCTCTTCTATAAATATGGACACATGTCCATCTTGGGTGTAGCATATCAGCAATATGGACCACTACTGAAGGAAGGGTAAAAGTCTTATGCCCATAGGCCCACCTACTCAATATTTTTATGAGTATATTTATTTATTTATGACATTTATATGCCACCCTTCACACCCCGAAGGGGACTCAGAGCGCTTTACAAGTTATATGTAAATACAATATATTATATTAATAGCATAGCACAATATCAGTAACATACAGTCCCATATTGTATTACACCACTATACTGTAATATTATTACATAATTATTATATTGCATAATTATTAATATTATATTGTATTACATTGTAATATATAATATTATATGTGTATACAATGTATTATATTATTAGCACAGCACAATATTAGTATTCTATATTACTATATTGTACTATACCACTGTACTGTAATATTATTAGTAATATTGCATGTAATATAAAATATATAACTCTTATATTGTATTATTATTAGTATTATATTATAATACGTTATAATATTATTATCAGTATTATATGTGTATACAATATATTATATTATTAACACAGCACATCAGTACTGTAATATATTAATATATAAGCCTTATATTAATATATAAGCCTTAAAGTGCCCGTTTGAATACCTGTAAAAGTGCAACAGCTCTTGGTCTGCGATCTTTTGCTCCAAAATCTTATGAAAAAAGGTCTCTAGAATCTATAGATTGATAGTATATAAAAATAAGTGCAAGGTGAAGGCATCCACCCTCTCCCAAAGTAGCCCAGGCCCATAGACCAGTCTTCCTAAGTTGTCATCAAAGATGGCAGGTGTTGAGGGAGCCGCATATACACTCCATAAGGAGTGAGTGGGCTTTGTTTCTACTGTTGCAATAGGCATGTGTCACAACTTTTCATGTATGTTCATGTGTTCATGTATGTGGGGCATTTGGTTCTTGGTTGTGTAATCTGAGCTATGTAGTTCTTTTGCAATGTGTTTGGTCTGTGAATATGGTTTTGGGAAACCGAAATCTTATATCCAAACAAGGATTTGGACTCTATTCTCCAGAGTCCTCATCCAAAACCCAAACCACTTCACCACTCTGACTCTCTGCCTGTCATTTGCTCCAACCATAGCTAGCTGGGTCTCACTAGCATTTGCTACCCTAATCTCTACCCCACAAGTCACAGTGGATGCTATCTGCCTCTGTGCCAGTACCTCTTTGTGGCATTGTCCTATAAATGTTGGTGAACAGCCAATTGTGATTTTTGAAGAGCTTTCTACAAGTATTTCAGTATAATTATTTTGAACAATTTTTAAATTTGTTTTGTTCAGCTGATATTGCGATAGTAGTTTGTGACAAACCCGAAAAAGCCAGAGTCTTATTAGAACATGTAGAGAAAAAAGAAACACCAGGCTTGAAATTCATTATTTTGATGGACCCATTCGAGAAGGATCTTAAAGGAAGAGGAGAACAGTGTGGAGTCCAAATCCAGGCTATGCAGGAAGTAGAGGTGAGATATCATATATTAAACAACTTTTGGCAAAGATTGAAATTAATGTGCCTTTTCATTTTCTGCCCCCCCCCCAAGAAAAGTGAAAGCTAACACAAACACTATTATATTAAATAGTGGTTCCATTAAGCCACTCACAAAGATATCCAAAATAACAGGAAGAAATAATATTGATTTCTAAACTTTACAGTGCAAATCTGCCTTATAGTTCTTATTTGTGCTTGTTTAATGTTGCATAGGAGGGCAGTTTGCTATTACTCATCCTAGAAGAGCCATATGTAATAGGGAAATTCTAATTCACCAATATTGAATGCTTATCCTTTAATTAAATTGTTTCAGGACTGTGGTCGAGAATGCTGGCATGCTCCTGTTGTAAGTATAATCTCTTTTGATATACCATAGTTCTTGCTTCGTAAACAACCTCCATTAACTTTTTCTGCTTCAGCCCCCATAAAATTAATGAGAGCTGCACTTTACTCAGTCTGTGTCTTTGTGTGTATCCTATTAGTTTAATGGAGGTGCAGGGATGACTCCTATATTTAAGAAAACCTGCATTTCAAAAGTCCCCTATACAAGTTCCTTTTAAATGAGTCAAGTGATCACTATCCAGCATACAGTATATAAGAAGTTATGTGTACTTAGTTTTTTTCCCATCCCTACTCCCTTTTTTTGGAATTGTTGTTAACTGCCATCAAGTCAACTTTGACTTATGACAACCCTATAAATGACAGACCTCCACATTATCCTGTTAAGTCTTACAAGTTCAGGGCTGTGGCTTCTTCAACTAAGTTTATGATCTTTAATGCGATCTGCCGTTCTTCCTGCTTCCTTCTACCTTATCAAGTATTAATATCTTTTCTAGTAAATATTTTCTTCTAGTACATTTTAGTTTTTAAAATTTTTAAAAATAGGAGGGAAAGATACTAAAAATCTGAGATGTGTGTGCATAGCCCTGCAAGAAGACCTGCCTGGCTCAATGTGACCCCATTCCCCAATCCCTGAAAGTTTTCTGTCCCTGACTTATGGTGTCAAGTGAACCACCGAAGCTTAGAAATTCATACGTATGCATGATACGACCTTTTCCCACACAGAGAGTATTTTCTGAGAAATACAAGCACTCTGGTTCGTAACAAATATTAACTTTGTTCAGGGTTGATCTTTTACACCTTGCTCCAAGGGGCAGCTTATTGGGCAGGGCGAGACCAATAAGCTTCACCCTCAGCTTCATGCACACAGAGTAGCCCAACTCCCTGGTCTCCATGTTTGAAGTCCAAATGTCTGTATAATGGGCACTTAATTGTATGTGTGAAGGTCCTACAGACAACATTTCTGTATGCATCTACACCAGGGGATAAGATCCTTGGTACACATGATATCAGAGGGTCCTTCCATACAGGCCCTATATCCCAGGATCTGATCCTGGGTTTTCTGCTTTAAACTGGATTATATGAGCTCACACTGCCAGATAACCTGGGGTAAACAGAAAACCGGGGATCAGATCCTGGCATATAGGACCTGTCTGGAAGGGCCCAGAGTCAGAGTTAGTTAGTTCCGCTATTATATGATTGATCAACCCATGGGGCATATTTTAATGGGACTATTGTTAATGTTAAAATAGTGATCACATAGCCAGTTGGAGACTGGAATTTCATTTTACTGGAGAATATTGTCAGGTTAATAGAGCGCTTGCATGGCATAGTGGTTTGAGTGCTGGACTATGATTCTGGAGACCAGGGTTCAAATCCCCACTCAATCATGGTTGATCTTAGGCAAGTCACATTCTATAAACCCTAGAAAAAAGCAACGGCATAACCCCTCTGAACAAATCTTGTCAAGAAAACCCCTTGATAAGGTCACCAAAAGTCATGATAGTCATAAGTCGTAACTTACTTTAAGGCACACAGCAACAACAAACTAATAGTACAATCTGTACATGTTTACTCAGACGTATGCTCCAAGATAGTTAGTGTTATTTAGTCCAAAGAAGTGTACATATAGATGTAAGGATAATCTGTCATCCCATTGATGACCAGAGTTGATTTGGCTTATCTACCTGACTAGGCAGGTGTCCCTCTTTGTCCTTATTTTTCCATGTATATCCTTTCTAAAATTGTGTTTTTGATGAAAAAGGATGGTGACCTTCATTTTTCTTATTTTCCTAGCCACCTCGACCAGAAGATTTATCAATTGTATGCTTTACTAGTGGCACTACAGGTAAATTTATTTTCTTCCTAATGTTTGTCCTTACCTTCATAATCGTGACACTGAAGAAAATATCACTAGCACTAATATCACTAGCACTAGCACTAATATCACTAAAATATCACTAGCACTAGCACTAATATGTAAATTCATGTCAAATACAGGTTGGATCTCCTTTGTCTGAAAGCTTTGAGACTAAAAGTTTTTTGGATTGTCAAATACCTGTATTTACATATACATAGTGATTTAGTGTTGGGAGGCTTGGAGTATTCTGGATTTCAGATTTCAAGTTAAGGGGGATACAACTAGTATATGTAAATGTAAGCTCTAATGCAGTGGATCTCAACCTGTGGGTACCCAGATGTTTTGGCCTTCAATCCCAAGAAATCCCAACGGCTGGTAAACTGGGAGTTGTAGGCCAAAATACCTGAGGACCCACAGGTTGAGAACCACTGCTCTAATGTATGCATTTTCATATATACCAGAAAAGAAGTAAAATGATAAGAACATGGAACTCTTTAAAGTTTGTTCGTTGAATGAAATAAAATATCCATCCATTCATTCAACATGGAAATTTGAAGAATGGTAAACTGATGTATATCTAAAAATATAGAATGTTGATTTTTTTTTCAGTTATTTGAATATGTATGTACATTACATTTGTGTTGTATTTTGGTGGTTTAATAGAGTTGCTCAATTGTTTTATTTGTGTTTGCTATATATCTTTAATATTTCTATGGTTAATTAAATTTTAATTTTTATAGGTGTTAGGTTTTAATTCACACAATGTTATGGTGTTTAATGTTAGCCACTTTGAGTCTTCCCTGGCAGAGAAAAAGCATGGTAATAATAATAATAATAATAATAATAATAATTAAATGGTACTAACCTTTGTAATGAATAATCTGAGAACCTCACTACTTTGGTGTAAGCTCACAGCAGCCGCTCCCCGAAAAGATACAAGACGCCCGTCCGTAATCAATCAGGAAACCTTTTACTGCTAGATACATATACACAATGAAAGCCAGGATTGGCATACAGACACACGTCAGCCCTTTATATACCCTCCCCACATTCGAATTCCCCCTTCCCGCCAACCCAG